CCGCTCTGGCCACTTGCTGGATTTGTGCTCTGTTGTCCCGAGTTCAAATTCTCGGCCACGCTTGTAAATAGCCAACTGGTTGCCTTCTGCCAGTTGGGGTTTTTAATCCTGTTATGTTGTATTTGAATTATTTGTTTCTAAATATTTGAGTGGAGTGCCTGTAAATTAGCTCACTAGCTAAGTGCACCTTCCACTATAAACATGCCTTTAACCTTTAACCTTTTAAAGAGTATCTCGTCGTCGGATTTTCCACCTTTGGTGGAAGCTCGAGACTGCGTCAAAAGGATGCTGTTGAACAACTGTTGGGTTTCCTGTTGGTTCTTACTGATGTCTGCATTTGGCGTGCATTCCAAATACCTCAGGACGCGCAATGAGCGGAAGGCTGCGTCCGTACTCGATGTACGATGCGTAGTCGCCTTCTTTAGGAGCAAAGTAGCTGCCTCTTGGCGAAAACTTGTAGTCTTTATTGTCTATGATGGCCGCGCAGTAGAACTTATCCTGGATTGTCAACAGGGTTCGTCCATCACGTTAAACGGCCTCTGTAGTTGCATTCTCTCGTGAGGTCGCTCAGAGGGGCAAACTGGGCGTCCTGTAACACAAAAACATGCACCAGCGCACATTAAAACAGTAAGGACAAAACCTATATACAGGCGATTCGCTCTGACCGGACACCTCTAATTAACAATTATTCCACGAGTGCACGTTGGCTGTAATCATTTCATATCCAAACAAGCGCCAGTGGAATAATTGCTTTATGAAAAACGCCCACAAAATATCGAGAATTCTTCCCGACTTTACTTTAAAAACAACCGATTATCAGTTCGTTTTTAATTTTAAGCTGACGCGTACGGTTACCATTTTTGGGAAGCATGGTATAATGGCTCAAATACCATAATGGCTAAGCCAATCAGAGCTCTAGAATTGCATTATCCAATGATTCAGGTTTTAATAATTACCTGATAATGATGCCATTGTGAATAGAGAAACTGTCAGTCGGTAGCCCAGCTTGTTCCAGTCCCTTATCTTCACAGGGTCTCCCAAAGTCTCCGGTCACCGAGAAGTCATTCGAACAGGGGATGCAGTGTGTTGCTGAAATGAGAAAATACTTCCTTTAAACAAGACAAATCATTAGTCTCGCTTGCGCAAGCAGCGAGACTCATAATCGGCAACGCGTTTTTCTTCGTATTTAGGACACAAAAGGGGAGTCACGTAAAAGAACACAACGAAGGCGTGAAAAGCCAAATTAAAGAGATGAAGGAAGACATGAACAAGCTCGGTAACGATGGTTTTAATGTCGAAGTCAAGTTGGATGAGCTCGAGCAGTACGCGCGAGGAGATTGTCTCGAAATAACCGGTATTCCGGTCGTACCTAATGAAAGCCCAGCGTTGCAGGTGAAGGAAATGTCTGAGATTATGGGAGTGAACCTCAACGAAAACGATCTATCGATCGCTCATCGTTTACCCCCAACGAAGAAAGTGAAAGATCGACTAATTGTCAAGTTCACTCGAAGAGAGAAAAAAGAAGAAATTTACAGCAAGAGGGAAAACTTAAAATCTCAGCGGACTAAAGATCCCCCGTCTGTGGTCTGCGAGCCGGAATCTGCGGTTGTAAGTCATAAAGCACAAATTCATGTCAATGAAAGCTTAACGCCATACAGAAAACGACTACTGGGCAGAATCTTACAATTCAAGCGCAACCACAACTACAAGTTTATTTGGACGGCTAACGGTAAAATAATGCTGAACAAAACTGAGAGCTCCACTACGAAATGTTTCGTAACCCATCGGGAATTCGAAGAGTTTCTTGACGAGCTCAATTAATTAGCTATCAGTTTAATGACTTCTAAAAACTTATATTATTACGCAGGCAAAACTGGCTGATTACCAGGAAAACGTAAGTAGTTGCTGACCATTTTATGGTTTAACTGATAGAGAATTTCATGCTATGGTTGGCAGCTGGCTGAATAGGCGTCATGATCTTGACCTTTACGATCTCCTCCCAAATCCAAATAAGTTCGACGAGTGCGACCCAGATTTAATGTTAAATACCCCCTGCTCAGGATATTATTCAGTCCCTAGCTTTAATAAAGTGCTTGTAAATTCAGACGCAAAATCTTTTTCAATTCTTCACTGTAATATTAGAAGTTTATCTAGAAACCTAAATCTGTCAGAAGAACTATTATGCTCCCTTGACTCCAAGCTGGATATATTTGGAATTACAGAAATTAAATTAGGTGAGAAGTCTATTTCTAATGTAAATATCAAAGGCTATAATTTTTTTACACACGGACTCGCCAACAAACGCAGGTAGAGCTGCTTTATATATAGCTAATAATCTTAAAGCTGTACCTAGGCCTGGCATTAAATTTGACGTAGCGCTAGTTTAATCCTGCTGGGCAGAAATTGATGCTGGTGAAGGTAAAAGGAAGATCATAATAGGTTGTATCTACATAGACTATGAGTAGTCCTCCATTTTTCCTCAGGGATAGTAGAGCGAGCAAAACGCCAGCGCGCGTGAAAGTCACCCCACGCGAGAAAGGCGACTCTCTCCCCGCTGCGTGTCGCCTTTTCTCGCGTGGGGTGATTTTCACGCGCGCTGGCGTTTTGCTCGCTCTACTATCCCTAAGGACAAATGGGGGACTACTCGTAGTCTAGTATCTACAAGCATCCCACTTGTAATTTAGAACAGTTTTGCAACCAACTAAATGATATAATCAAAACAATTAATCCCAATAGACACGAAATTTACATCTTTGGAGATATGAATATAAATTTCCTGAAATTCAATGAACATACTCAAACTGAAGAGTTTTTAGATATGCTTTATGCCAATAACATCTTGCCGATCATTACTAAACCTACGAGGCTTACTGATCACAAGGCAACACTCATTGACCATATATATACAAATTGTTTACAAAATTTCACAGCAGGAATCCTGACAGTTGATATAACAGATCATCTTCTGATTTTCTGCTTAGTCAGAACCCAGCCTACACGGAATAATAGTAACAAAAAATATTTTCGAGACTAGATATAAAACTGATTGATTGGCACGAAATCCTCAACCCAGAAAAGAATCTAAATGAAAAGGTACAGGAGGCAATCAATACCCTGAATAAAATTGTAGATAAACATGCGCCTATCAAGCTGGCTAGCCAAAGCAAGCAAAGGCAACTTAATAAGCCATGTCTCACTAAGGGTATCCTAAAATCGGTAAAAAGGAAACAGAAAATGTACTGTATGCATTTCTTAAACATTATGCAGCTATTCTGACAAAAAACATTGGAATTTTATTTAAACTTAGACATTATGTGCCAATAGGTACACTCAAACAACTGTACTATACTCTCATATATCCGTATCCGTATCGTACCAAAATAAGTTAAATATAATCAAAGTAAGTCAAAATAACTGTATTCGCTGCATCTTCTCTGCAAACAAAACAGACAGTCCCACACCGTACTTTACACTATTAGAAATCTTAAAGTTAGAGAATACCTTTAAATTAAAAATTGGCACTGACTTGTACATAAAATTCAATATCAAAAAAAGGATACACCTCCTGCCCTCTATGACTTAGTTCAACCGGCTTCAGCTGTCCGTAATTATAATACTAGGTATGCCACTAATCAAAACCTGTGCAGACCGTTTTCCAGAACTAATTATGGCCTAGCAAGGTTTAGTGTAGTGGCGTCACAGACCTGGGAAGCAGCACCTATGAAAATTAAGTGTCTCCCCTCGAACAGTTTTAAAAAAGAATATAAACTCTTTCTACTTGACAGTCAGGCATCTTGAACAACTCTAATCTGTTATTTAGCGCTATTTCTTTAATTATTTGATTTAAATAGTTTTTTATAAGTACTATATAACCTCCATCCACTTGTAACTGCTCTGTGGTACATGTAGTAGCCAAATCGAAAGCTTGGCTCCTTTGGCTGCTACACACTCTTTTCCTTTGTTATGTTTAATTCAATGTATAGTTGGCTCTGTTGTTACTTCTTCTTTTTTTTTCTTATTGTTGTTGTATTGTAATTGAATAAATGAACTTGAACTTGAACTTGGACAGTCCGTTGCGAGTCTCGATTCGCGGCTCGATTGGCGATTTATTTACTCTAAGAAAATTAGGAGAGTTGTTTACCTTGTCTTCAGGGTCGCCTTCTCTTGCTGATCTTGTTATCCAACAGTCATTCCTGTGAGTTGTTTTGCAGGTTGCCATTCTATTCCACTTCACCAAGAATCTCAAATATGTGATGCAATGTTGTCAATCACTAAAAAAAAATTGACAAAAATTAACTTCATTTGACAAGGCATTTTAAAGAATGGAACTTGTATAAGAGTTTTTAAGACACCTTATCTCATGTCAGGTCAGTTGGTCAGGTTAAGAGTCCATAATTTGTATTTTGAATGGAAATTTAACTGCTTAAATTACATCCTTATTATCAAGGTGTCTATAAAAGAAAGGTGTTCACATGGCCAGAATTGACTTTACTAGGGGGTTCCATTTCCGGGGTGGAGACACTCCCTCATTTGGTCTAGACAAGGATGTTGCGCTGTACAGGGTATGGTTTTCAGGGTCTTGAGTCTTCCCCACTATTTTGCATCTTTAACAGGGAGTGTTTTTGAACTGGAAGCCTTTAAAAGAGTATGTGTGAAGGCTGCAAGTTCCATGAAATTAGTATGAAAAAATTACCTAATTCTGTATACAACACCTAACTAATCAGGGTTACAGTTGAACCTTGATTATCCGGACTTTTCAATTATACACACTTGTTTTGGTGGTCCCGTTTTTCATGAATATTTATCGTTAAAGCCCTAAGAGTGATCAGTATCAAGTTTCTCCTTGTAATAATTATGAATGCCTTGTAAAACAGAGTGGTCACTAGCAAGGCTGCTGCCTAGCGGGTGCCTGGTTGCCAGAGGCACCTACGATTTACCCTCAGGTGACCAAAATTTCAAACAGGGAGCCCAAACAGGCGCCTAAAACATATGATTCTCAG